AGGCATCAACAGAGGGCCTCTGCTCCAACTGCTCCAACTGGGGGATGGTCCCTGAAGGTTCCTACCTACTGTGCCCTGCTCATGTGGCCTTTCCTGTGGTTCCCTAGGGCTTTGTGGTAGGGGATCTCTATGCTCTTCTGACCCACAGCAGCCGGGCAGCCTGCACCAGGATCAAGAACTTAGGGTAAGAGGAGTTGGGCCCAGGAAAGGCAGAAAGAGGAAATGGATGTAGATGGGTGGGTGGTGAGGAAGGGAATGGGATGTTGGTGGGGAGGAGGCCTCCCTGTGTTCTTCTTTGCAGTTTGGCAGGTGGCTTGACTGAGGAGGATGAGGGGGAGCTGTGTGCTGCTGGCTTTCCCCTCCTGGCTGAGGACTTTGGGCAGGCACTGGAGCTACAACAGACAGCTCACTCCCAGGCTGTTGGAGCCCCCAAGGTGGAGACCAAGTCCTTGGAGGTGGGACAGGAGTCCCTCCAAGAGCATATCCCAACCATGCACTTTCCATCTCCTAGATCCCCTCAGTGTCCTGGCATGATGTAGGTGGGCTGCAGGAGGTGAAGAAGGAGATCCTGGAGACCATTCAGCTCCCCTTGGAGCACCCTGAGCTACTGAGCCTGGGCCTAAGACGCTCAGGCCTTCTGCTCCATGGGCCCCCTGGCACCGGCAAGACCCTCCTGGCCAAGGCAGTAGCCACTGAGTGCAGCCTTACCTTCCTCAGGTGGCCAGGGGGCCTGGAAGGGATGGCGGGTGGATCAGGGGCTGCAGCATGCTGGGGAGCAGGAGGGGCTGCCCGAGAGGTCAGTTGTGTGTATGTACATCTGACGGGTCTCACCTTCTTACATCCTCTCACTCAGCGTGAAGGGGCCAGAGCTCATTAACATGTATGTGGGCCAAAGTGAGGAGAATGTGCGGGAAGGTGAGTGAGCAGGGAGGGGCAGGGCTTCCCATGCTTCCCAAATTCTGATGGCCCCCAAGCCACCCCCACTGCCAGGCTACTCATGGTCATTCCTAGTCCTCCTTTCCACAAGTCACGTTCCTGCCCAGCTGGGTCTAGTACCTGGGGTGCCAGTGCTGTATTGTCAGACCCCAGTTTCCCTCCCTGCTCTCGCCTAACTTCAACCCCCTGCAAGTCGAGCTTCACCCTCCTGTGGGCCCCAATCTCTCTTCAGTGTTTGCCAGGGCCAGGGCTGCAGCTCCATGCATTATCTTCTTTGATGAACTGGACTCTTTGGCCCCAAGCCGGGGGCGAAGTGGAGATTCTGGAGGAGTGATGGACAGGTGTTGGTCTGAGTGGGAATGGAGGCTGGGGGGTCCAGGGTGGGAAGGATATGAGAAAGCTCACAGCAGTCTTCAAGAGTCCAGAGATAGAAGTTCCTGCTGTTTCAGTTCTGAGGTAATATAATGGAAGCTGAAAGGGGCCATGAAATTGGGCAGGGGCCACTGAGGAGAATGGGGGCCTACCTGGAGGGGCACACTGGGCACAGCTGAGTGGAGGGCCCTGATGAGACTGCCTGTAAGGAGAGGTACCACAGGCAGGGGCAGAGTCTAAGGGGGACACCAAGGACTCTTGCCCTTGCTCCCTTCACTCCAGGGTGGTGTCTCAGCTCCTTGCCGAGCTGGATGGGCTGCACAGCACTCAGGATGTGTTTGTGATCGGAGCCACCAACAGACCAGATCTCCTGGACCCTGCCCTTCTGCGGCCTGGCAGGTGGTCCCCTTGTACTGCTTACCTCCACCTTCATTCTGTGCCTCCACCCCTCATGGCTGGGCCCCCTGAAACTTATACCTGCCTATCTCCCTAAAGATTTGACAAGCTGGTGTTTGTGGGGGCAAACGAGGACCGGGCCTCCCAGCTACGTGTTCTGAGTGCCATCACACGCAAGTATGCCCTGTTAAAAGAAGACTGCAAAGGGCTTGCGCCTTGGGATGCTTAGGGGATGCATGCAACATGCAGAATGAGCTGGTCAGCACTGGCTTTTGAGGGAGGAGGTGATGCCAACTCTGTTTCTTCCCGTATCCCACAACAGATTCAAGCTAGAGCCATCTGTGAGCCTGGTAAACGTGCTAGATTGCTGCCCTCCCCAGCTGACAGGTGCGGACCTCTACTCTCTCTGCTCTGATGCCATGACAGCTGCCCTCAAACGCAGGGTTCATGACCTGGAAGAAGGTGAGCCACTTGCCGGCCTGAGAGGTCAACCAGAAAGCCAGTGGGGAGCTGGGTGCACTTGAGTCCCAGCTACTTGAGAAGCTGAGGTAGGAGGATCGCTTGAG